AAAGGGTTTGTTGGTGGATGGTCTACTCTGGAACCAGCATTGCCTCAGGCACAATATACACAATATACACAAAGATATACCTAATAAATTGCTTGCCCTTGAGGAGGTTATAATAAATGTTAATACTAAGTTAAGAGTCAACACACAGTGAAATACAGGGGTGTACAGGAACAAATGCTGTGCTTTCAAAGAATAGATGACTTCTGCAGACAGAAATTAACTGGAGTCGGGGCCAGAAAGGGAGACAGTGATAAATCACAATGCTTTATAAGATGATTCCACATTGGAAGTTCCCCCGCTTAAGTCTGAAGACCTCCCTGAATACACCAGGCATATGTGTGCCCATAAGCCAGGACTGGCTGAAGACTGGGGTGGATTGCAGTATTAAAACCCTGCTAGGGATGGGACCAGCAGTTAGTGTAATGACTATGTTGCTGGACTCCCACGTAGTCTACCGTGGTTCGCATCCCGGACCTGGTGGCTTGAAACTCATGCCGGGCATGTGTGCGTACGTGCCCAAGATCCCAAAAGGAGAATGGAGGAGAAGGGATTGCAGAATGGCCATCCTCCCTGGGTGGTGATTTCTCGCTTTCTGTTTCTCTGTCTCTCTCTGTCTGTCTGGTGAGCACATGCGCCCTATAGTGAAAACCTCTCAAAAACGGGGGGGCACATGCGCACTATAGTAAAAACCTCTCAAAAAAAAAAAAAAAAAAACCTGCTAGGGCTTCAATACTGCGATGCTCTTCTCTCTCTCTCTCATGAAAGAAAGAAATAAATAAACTAAAGAAATGAACTGGAACAGCTTCATGAAAAGACTGACTTAAGCCCAACTTTGAAGGGACAGAGGCATTTGACTGGATAGAAATGGGAAGGTTGAGTAGAGGTGGCTTTTTTTTTTTTTTTTTTTTAATCAAGGAAACAATGAAAACAAACACAGGGGGGATAAAAAAAATGATACCTAAAGAAAGAAAAGAAAAGACATTCAGGAAGTATTGAGGAAAATATAAATGAAAGTTTTCCAGGGCCTTGCGTGCTAAGCTGAGAAGCCTGAATGTAGCATTTAGCAAAGGACAGTAAATTTATATCTATCTATACACACACACACACATATATTATTTTATACAATCACTATACATCACTACAACTTGTAAAGTGAATTTACCCAATGTGAATACACTCCACCAGTCCAGAAGATACCATACATGTTGCCATCAATACACAATCATCCCTTTCTGAGGACAGTAAGTTTTGAACAGGACTTTTTGCACATGCTATTCCCTATGCCTGCAATGGTGTCATCCCCATCACTCACACCCTCCACAGTACCACCCTCCTCTTGGTATGGTGACTCCTTCACATACTTGTTTTAAATGTCAGAACACCCTATGTGTATGATTGAACCTCCCTTTAGCTTTTTATTACAACATCTATGATTTGTGTCCACAGAATTAATTGAACCACAAGTGGAATGATGCATTTATCTACCCAGCTCCCCCATCAGCACTGAGTGTCAAAGTCTGAGACCATGTCTAGAGTGAGGGATCGAGAAGAGAAGGGGCCCAACATAGACCCTGATGAAACACCTACAGTTTAGGCAGGAAAAAACTGTAGAAGGAATCCTAGCAAGGAGAAGAACAAGAATTTCAGGTGCCAAGGGAGAAGTGAGTTTCAAACAGAGGTTGGTAAGCACCCTTAGAAGCCATGTAGTATGGAGTAGGGTGAGAACAGAGACTATTTCCACTGAGAGTTCAACACTGATCTTGGATAAAAAGTTCCAGAGGGATGGTAAAGATAGAAAAAAAGTGGCCAGGGTTCAGGAGTGGACTTGAGATATGGCCAGGTGACAAGAGAAAGATTGAAGACACAGTCTTTAGTACAAGAAGGGATAGTCTGTGGCGCTGAAGAAGTTGGTTGGAAGGATACTCTTTATTAGGTGTTGTTAAAGGGAATGATAGAACATTCTTCTCAGAATTGCCAAGATCACATAAAGTTGTAGCCTAACTTCACATTTGCTATTTCTTCACCTGTTAGAACAATGGCAGAAAGCCATAAAAGAGACCTGACAAGCAATAAAATCTATGCTAATATGACATTGAGGAAGGAACACAAAACTAACTCCAGTGGGAGGTGGCCTGGACCACACAGAAGATCACGCATTTATCTCCTCTTCCAGGCACCTCTACCAAAATAAATCTCTATACCGGTTTCATATACTTAAGAAAAGGATTTGCAAAATCTTTCCCATAGCATCATAGAATTTCAAATCTGAAACATTAAAATGTCTAATCATCAACAATGGACTCAAATTAAGAATGACATTTTCCTTTCCCAAATGTAGTTTCCCTTCTTTCTCTGCATGGTAATATTTCTTTTAATAAAGTTCACTTTTCTCCTAAACTATGACAGAGGCATAGCCAATAAACAGTTTCTTATTTTCCCATCTTAAAACCCTGACTGGTTTAATAATTCACTCTCTCTCTATGCCTTAAAAAGGGAACTTTTATCTTTGAATCCATCTATAAAACTGTTCTCTTCTCCTCCCACTTGCTAAATGGACCCTATTTATCACTCATTTTATGGGAGCTTATCTCTTCCAAGAGGAGTTTGATCAGATAACCTGGTCTTTAGAAACAGAGGAAGATTGCCAGCAATGGCTTCTATTGTTTGAGAACTTCTCTTTGATGTGAAAATTTTAGGAAGGCTGTATGATGTCTCCAGGGTTTTTGATGGTTCAGGAATTCCTTACCTTGGTCTCAGAGTCTGGATTGCCTTTGCTGAACATGCTTCTGCTGAATCCAGTCCTTCAGAATGATTTGAACATGAGCTTAGTCCCTAGTCAGAGACAGAACATTCCTAGTTTAACGTTGTGATATAATATGACAGATTTATACATTGTTCTGACATAATGAAATGCAAAGAAATGAAGTATTTTATTTACGCAGTAACCTCTTATTTCAACAGTTCACTGGCTATTATATAGGATTTCTTGGCCTCCTCAAAAAGACCTCAAGTAACTCTGAGAGTACTACAGAGCAATCTCATCAGCTTGGAAAGACCCAGGCGCTAGGTCACAAGGCAGAACGGAAGACAGCAATAGAAACCAAGAAACAAAACCAGTCTCCAGAAGCACTCAGCACTCTCTGCTGCTTGGATGTTCTTTTCTCTATCTGGATATAGAAACAATGTTTGTTGAATGAATCCATTCCTAGGTTCAGCATTTAATCAACAAACACTGTTGATTCATCCTTTCAATGAACTTTGTATTCTCCCTAGGATATGTAAGGAAGTACATGCAAAGGCAAGGGAATACATTCTACCTTCGACAAGGCAGCCTTACAAGGAAACTAGACAAGAAGTAAATACAATGTGGTAAATTCTACAGTAGACCACATGCTGGATATTAGGGAAAGGGACACAGAGAAGATATCAGCTAAGCCAATGCTGGGGAGCTGAAGAAAACGTCAGAAAATTGTTCCAAATGGAAGTCATTTCGGCTCTGTCATGAACCTGACACTGAGCTGGTCAAAGGAGTTCGGTAAAACTCCGCAGTTGGAGAAGATAGGAAAGATGTGGTGCTTTCTCTTCCAGTAGGTACTCTGGCTATACTACTAGAATACAGGAGGAGCTCTTAGCGGGGACTCTACAGGACATTTCAGAAGCATGTGAGTGTGTGTTAGGGAGAGATGATGGCTCACTCTCTCTTCCAGATTATGACCAAGACTTGTCAGGGAGTATAGGAGGAAGCACGGAGGTGAGACTGTTCTTACTTAATAGGGCAAGACACAGCCACCCCAGATGGATTTGCTGGTGTACTTGGGTAGGAGCAAGTGGGTACAAAACAAAAACAAAAACAAAAAAATGAAAAGTAAGGGGGGGAAAAGCCTCTTCATCACTAACCTGGGAAAAACTAGAACAAAATGGTTTACTCCAAGGTTTCTCCCCACCACCCCCCAATCTTTAGAGAGAGGAGAAAAAGCAGATTTCATTCTAAAGTTAAGTCTTTCTACTCAAAGTATGGCCGAAGGGCCCAGGCTTACTGCCTCAGAGCTGCAATTTAACAAGATCCCCAGGTGATCTGTATGCACGTGGAGCCCTGCTCCAGAACAGTGTCATGGTTTAGCAGTGAAATCACTGGAGGGGCTTTTTAAACTACCAATCCCACCCCCAGGGATTCTGATTTAAATGCTCCGGAGCCCTAAGTGTTTCCAAATGTGCACTGAAGTGATACAGGTAGGCCTCCTATTCCCTAGGAGAACCTCTGAAATAGCAGCAGGTCTGGGTGCTGTTGATGCTGAAATACCAAGAGCTCCCCCAGGCCCAGTAGAGCCGCTGCCCCCTTCTGGCACACTCAGGAGCAGAAAAGCGATGCCTGCTGTTAGAATGCAGGTGCCCAGCTCACCACTGCACACGTCCTCACCAGGACTATTCACTCTGCATTTCATTATGTGAAACCCGTGCAGAAATCTGTCATGGGAGATCAAAACATTAAGGCTGGAATGTTCTATGCCTGCATGTTTAGCTCATCCTCAGACAAGTCATTTGCAATTAGGATAGGGTCCTGAGGCTATAGAAGGTAGTAGAGGGAGAAAGCTTGTCCAGAAAAGTTAGGGGCCTCCAATTGGTAAGGCAAACAAACCCAAAACAGACAGGAGTCGCCCAAAGAAAGCAGCACCCAGCAACCCTGCCATGAGTCAGCATGAGGCAGGCCCAGCCCCTTCCAGGGGAGCCTGATTAAGGATCAGGCTCAGCTGCTGGGCTGGGCTGGGCTGTTACTGCTTCTTGTCCCAAGACCAAGTCTTAATAGCAACTTCTCTGCCTTGGCCGCCTAAACTTTTTTTTTTCCTTGTGGCTGGAAAGAAGTGTCACATTTTGCTCACTCCCAGCCTCCCCCACCCCCTTCCCAGAGAACGTGTGCAGTGTGTAGGGGGTGCTGTGAACCACCTCCAGCTTTCTCGGGTGGCTGCTGGAAGTTAAGTTTCAACTCCTCTCATTGTCACGCTATGAAGTTCCACGGGAAGCCCAGGACCCAGACAGCTGCTTTCCTGCCTCTTTGCTGGCTCTTTCTGAAGATTCTGCAACCAGGGCACAGCCACCTTTATAACAACCGCTATGCTGGGTAAGTGGAGTGACTCCCATGCCCTGCGTTTATTTGGACAAGGGGGCTGGCGTGCTCCTGAGTGTGCCTCACTTTTTCTGATCTGCAGTCTCTGCATGAGGCTGCACACTCTCCTGGTCCCCTGGATCTAACATAACCCAGCTCCTGGCTCTTCAGTTCAGCTCACTAAGAGAATGTGGTGGGCACCAGTCTGGCTTTTCATATTCCGTACGTTGTGCCAACCTCAGCCGTGAATCTCGCTTTGAATGGAATTCTGTCTTTGGGGTAGCCAGAGCCAGCATTTGCAGTATTTGCTTGGTGGATGCTCAGTGTGAAGGATGCTGTTGTACCACGTGAATTCTGACCTGAAAACTAAAGCCTCTCCTTTAGAATTACATGCAAGATCTGTGGGTTGAAATTCACCAGTGATTAATTTAAGAACTGAGTGAGATTTTCGTGTGTGCTTGTTAGTCTATAGAGTGGTTATTAGGAAGATTTTCGAATCTGAGCAATGCAAATGACTCGACTCAAAATAAGCAAAATAAAAGTAGCCAACTGTAAAATTATGGGTATTTTTCTGAATCAAAAACAGAGGGAGAAACACAGTTCTCCCCTGTCTACAGGTTAGCATGCTTTGTATATGCTTTTCTTAAGGAGGTGCTCGGCTGGGTATAAAGCTGTGTATTACTATGCATGTTCTTATTATCCTGAAGGCTTGCTGAGGTGTAGACAGCATGCGCTTTGCTCAAATTTGCAGGGGGCCGTGCTTTGACTCTGGAAATTATGGCATGCCTGCCTTTTTAGAGCTGGAAGAACTTTAAACAGATCCTTTAGTTCCTTTTACAGAGGAGGAAGACCAGTGTCTTAAATCTTTTTAGTATACTGTATTCAATAATCACTAGTTGAGAAAAGTTTGCATATAGATCTGAATTATGACCAGGCAGTGTCCAGTGTCTTAAAGCAAAGTTGTTCTTTTTAGGTATAAGAAAGATGAATTTGTAAGTGTAACTGTGAAAAACGGAATTTTATTATTTCCCTTTTTCTCCCAAGAAGTCTGGGTTCTCATTACATTGTTTACAGAGGAACATTTAAAAACATGTCCTCAGTTTTAGAGAATGCAAATAGAGGTGGGGGTGTTGGTGGAGGTAGGGGCAAGATGGTAAGATGATCCCCAACTTCCCCACCCCGGTGTTTCCAGGAGGAACAGGAAGAAGTTAATATTTGAGGGCTGCTTTTTGGTCTGGACACACGAGGTCTGGGCTTTACAACCTGTCATTTGTCACCTCCCTTGGAGGTCTGGGTAAAGCAGCCCGTGTTAAGGACTGGTAGTATAGGCTAAGGTTATGGAGGAGTGACTTCTGACTCTCTTGGCTGAAGTGTGGTGACAGGATAAATGTACTCCACAGATTTAGACATGCCTGGGTGACACAGGCCCTCACTCCTCCACTCAGCTGTGGCCCTGTCCTTAATTATTTCTGTGTGTGGTGCTCCTCAATGACAGGGTACCAGCCTGCTTCAGCTGAGCAGGTGTGCACTTCCCTAAGCACCACTTTGTAGAGGAAATGTAGAGAGAGCCCCTTCATATAGAATTTGTGGCAACTGAAGGCCTTTTGGGGAAGTTGTATTATCTCCTCTCTGTCCTGCAATGGAAGTCATAATAGTCATTGTCTCTTAAGTTGGTCCCAAATGTATAAACTTCCAGGTGTCTGAATGTTGGAAGGAAAACAAACAAACAAACAAACAAACAAACAAACAAAAAACAGGTGAAACAATGAGAAGCTGAAGAAGCAAGCCTTAAATGTCTATCACAGCAGAAAGAGTTTCTTTAAAATCAGAAATATTTCTGAATACTCTTAACACTAAAAGATGAAGGATTGGGGCCAATGCATGGTGTGGTGGTTACGGCACTGAACTCCCACATGGCCAACTGTGGTTTGAATCCCTGACTCCATGGCTTTAAAATCATGCCAAGGGCATTTATGTGTGTGCCCAAAACCCAGGAGGAGAATATGGGAGAAGGAATTGCCACATGGCCATTCCTCCTGGGGGTGGTGGTGGTGGTGATTTCTCATTTTTCTCTCACTGTCTCTCTCTGGCAAATGCACATGTCCTATAGCAAAAAAAAACTTTTTAGAAAGAAAAAGAAGGATTTGGAGGGGCAGGCAGTGATATGTTCTGCAAGGCTGACCCAGGTGGAAAGGTTCTGGGTTCATGCCAGGCATCTCCCTGAGTACATAGGGTATGCATATGCCCAGGTCTGGCTGAAAGTAGGAGAGGATTTCAGAACCACCAATACTATTGTATTTCTATGTCACTCTTTCTCATGAAAGAAATAAATAAAACTTTTTTTTTTAATTGAAGAGGTTTTTGCTATAGGGTGCATGCGCTCGCCAGAAAGAGAGAGACAGAGAGACAGAAAGCGAGAAATCACCCCCCACAGGGCGGGGGGTGGCCATGCCGCAATCCCTTCTCCTCCATTCTCCTCTTGGTATCTTGGACATGCACGCACACACACTCAGCGTGAGTTTAAGCCACCGGGTCTAGTACTTGAACCATGGGTGACTACATGGGAGTCCAGCAACATAGCCATTACGCTAACTGCTGGTCCCATAAATAAAACTTTTTTAAAAAGGAGGATTTTAACTTACCTTCATAAGTCATTCTCTCATTACCAAAGACAGAAATGCTGCTGAGATTTGGGAGCATTTTGTTTTATTTACTCAGGAACTGCTTTCTTCAAGTTTAGCTTTCTGGGAACAAGAATCTGATAGGAAGACATGATAGAATAGTATTTAGCATTATTTTTGACTGGCTTTACCTGTCTAAAGTTATCATTCTAAGCTACCTTATTCTTATCACTTAACAAATTTAGAGGTTCTTTTGTTAATTATGTGGCAGCCTTATTTCTTGTGTTTCCATAGAAATATTTCTGTGGATCTTGGTTTAATCTAATATTAATCTAATATTAAACCAAGATTATGCTTAGGGCCCTACCATTTGAGGGCCCTAAGCATAAATAAAAAGAAAGCTCAAGGCAGACCTGCATGTATCCTGAAGCCGTGAAAGAGCTCAGTTCTCCATATAAGTCAACTGGTAACAACTGGATCGCACCAGCTGTGTGACAAATGCTTAGAAAAAGGCAAATCTACATTTCTCAGGAGAACAAATAGACATAGAAAAACTACAAGGAAAATCTGATGACAAAAGTGATACATTCATGGGGGCTGGACAGTGGTACAGTATAAAACATGACACTGTGAGGCAGATCCACATGGTATGTTCCATGTTCAAGTATGAAGAGCCCCCGAGTATGCCAGGCATGCACGTGCACATGACCCAGGACTGACTGGAGTCAGGGGATGGATCCCAGTATCAAGACCTGGGTGGGAGAAAGGTGCTTGTATGTGCGTCTTTCCTCAGAAGAAATTATTGTTTTAATAGTAAAATATTTTAAAAAGTGGATACCTTTTTGGATAACTATTAAGTTACTCACTTACAAGGAAGATTTAAAAATACATAGAAAAGTAATGAAGCCTTGTATGGAAAATAACTTCAAATCATATTGATTTTCTGCTTTTGGAGGGCTTTAAGGGCTACAAATGTCAAGACAAACATTTGGGTGATAAACAAATGTCAGTCAGTGAGTGCGACTCCTGCACTAGTAAGCATGACTCTGTGTTCTCTTCTTTCCCCTTATCTCCTTGTTTTCCTGGAAGCAGACCTAGTTATTATACTGTGATGTTGAGTGCAAAAACTAAGGATCCCCAGCATCTATAGGAAAATATAGTATTTTTTGTAGTGATAAAAGAGAAACAAATTCTGGCAACTTTATAGAATTAACATAGTTAAAATTTTTGAGAACTGCTATCCCATACTGTCTTTGTGCCAGTCAGTGTAGTGTAAATACTGAAGTACTCCTGCCTGGGTTTCAATTTCTGCTTTCTTACACTTAGATCTGCTACCTTGGGCAAGTTCCTTAACCTCTTTGAGCCTCAGATTCCTTACCTGAGACAGTGGGAATAGTATTAGAACCTTTCTCTCCAAGCTTTTGTGAGGATTCAAGCAATAGCATGGGCATTGCATGATTCTTAGCACCTAGTAAGCATGTACTCAATAGGGTGGTGAAAGAGCCAATACTTACCAATACTTGATATAAACATTTATGAAGACATTAATAATTTTCTCATCAACCTCATGCAGTTGATATTCCACTTACAGATAAGCAAAATAAGGTACAGTGGCCCCCGCCCCAATCCATGGGGGATAAGTTCTAAGACCCCCATTGGATACCTGAAACCATAGAACGTATCACATCCTATATATAGTATGTTTTTTCTATTCATACATATCTATGATAAAGCTAAATTTATAAATTAGGCACAGTAAGAGATGGACAATAATTAATAATAAAATAGAGCAATTATAATATACTATAATAAAAATTGTGTGGTGGTAGTCTCTTTCTCCTAAAATATCTTGTACTACAGTCACCAATTTGCTGATCAGGGTTGACTGAATAACTGAAACCTCAGGAAATAAAACTGCAGGTAAGTGGGGGAGGAGGCTACTGAATAGACTGGGCAGCCCAAGTTCACAAATAAAAAAACCCAAGGTCACTACTAGGACACAGTCAGGGTTCTCCCATAGCTCTGGACTGTACAAACCGTAATTCTCACTCTACCATCCATTCTGGTATAGAAAAGAACTAGTGTTGAGAAAAAAATGAAGACTCAAATCTTGTTTTGGGAACTGCTCATTTCAGGACAGTGAAGAAAAGAAATAGGGGAAATTGGAAGCTTAATCTTGGCCACCTTCTCTAGAGTGAGGAGTCACCAATTGTAAATCATTATTAGAAAAGCAGGCAGAGCCCATAGGGATAGAAAGCCAATGACCCAGTCTGCACCCACTGGTTCTGGCATTCTAATGGGAAGTGTCACCTTTCAGCCTGAGAAGGGTTTTGATTTAGATGGTAACTTGTATGTTCAGCCTTTTTATTCTTCATTATGATTGCTTACTTAATG